GGAGTGGGCGGAGGAAGGGGAAAGCAGACCACTGGAGGAGCAGACGGTGTGAGGGGGAGCAGAGCACAGGAGGAGTGGGCGGAGGAAGGGGAAAGCAGACCACTGGAGGAGCAGACGGTGTGAGGGGGAGCAGAGCACAGGAGGAGTGGACGGAGGAAGGGGAAAGCAGACCACTGGAGGAGCAGACGGTGTGAGGGGGAGCAGAGCACAGGAGGAGTGGATGGAGGAAGGGGGAGTGGAGCCCAGCTCTCTCACTGTGGGCTTTTTGCCGTCCTTCAGCAGGGTCTTCCTCCGCAGGACCCCCTGCACCGTGACGGCTCCGGGGTACAAGTGGACAGCCAGCTCTTCGGACTCTGCCGAGCTGGAGGGAGATGGGAAGCGGCAGTGAGAAAATAGATCCCAATGGCAGGTATGAGTTTAGAATCAGTGTGACAAGCGGCAAGCGACAGACAGAGAGAGAGAGAGAAAGAAAGAGAGAGAGAGAGAGAGAAAGAAAGAAAGAGACCCCAAGAAACCACATCCTCAGGTCCATCCTCAGGAATTCAGGGCAAGTTTTAACCAAAAAGCAGGAGAGGATCACATTTTCCTAAATTTCCCTTTTAAATGACGTGAAGCGTCCACTAGGAAGAGCTGCAGGGGCTGGGCTTTGATGAGGTTCGTGTGGAAAATTCTCCCATGGGAAAATTACACTGGCCTAAAAGCACGGATACAAACATGCAAACACACGGAGAGGCGGAGCAGAAAGGTGCCTGGAAACAGATGCAAAAACTCAAACACACACACATGTTTGTATTCATACCTTTGTGGGGACCTTCCATTCATTTTTATGGACAAAAACCTAATTCCAAACAATGACAACCTTAACCCCTATCCCACCAAACACAAGATAAAACTTTTGGCTATTTTAGTGTTTTCATTGCATACACAGATTTTTATTATTTTTTTTATAAATTTGAGGTCTCTATTGTGAGAACCTGGAAAATGTCCCCACAAGCTAAAAAGAAACAGGTTTTACGACATTGTGGAGACATGCATCCCCATGCACCTTGAGGTCTGGCTGTTACACACTTTCTTCTGGACATCAAAGGAAACGTTGTCATCATCGGTATAAACCTAGACGTGAGCTTGAACAGTGGCCTTGGCTTAGGTAGACGATTCTAAATTGGATAACCAAAGCTATTCTTAAAGATGTCACGGGAAGCATTAATGCTACAAATGTTATTATCGCTGCAATAATACTGCAAAAGCAGGGCTGAGAAAGAAACGGGTCATACCAGATCAACCACGACACCTTTTGAATGGGCACTGAGCCCCCACCAGTGCCATTATGGGCGGGGGGGGGGGGGTTATCCCACCTGCTCCTCTAACAGCAGCACACTGAATGAAAAGGAAAGGAGCCTGAGGAAAGAGGTGGCTGCGACCTACAAGCTCAGTGATGGAGGGAGGGACAGAGGGAGGGAGGGAGGTAGAGTGCGAGAGATTATCTGGTGGTGGTGTAGAGCGCATTCGCTCAAGTGTCCTTGACAGCAGAGGATTCTGAAAAGGGGTGGGGGGGGGGGGGACACCACCAGGAGTACAGCACACCAACGACCCCAAGGGGGCGCCGGGGGTACCTGCTGGCCTTGGAACTTCCTCGGATGCGGCCCACCCTGGTAACCGGGCCCAGAGAGTGATAGAAGCGGCTCCTGTTGGATTTTGGGATAAGTTGTTTATAGCAGGAAGCAGCAGTCCGGGGGACTGAGGGCACGGTGATTTCCCCGCACGTGGCGTCTCCATGGAGACATGACCGGCAAGACGGCAATGGCGGCGGGCCCAGCATGGCGTGCGTGTGCGGCCCGTGACACAGCTCTCATGGCAGACAGATGGCCCGTTTCATCGCAATTGCATCAGTTAGAGGTTTCAGATGAACATAACAGAAATGACTCTAAGTGACACCCCCCCCCCCTCCCCACAAATACACACACCACGGGGGTGTGTGAGGGTGTTTGCCCTCACCTCTCGAAGGCTGGCCAGGGCATCTCCTCGCTGAGTTCTGAGCCATCGCTGCTGCCTGCAGAAGCAGAAGTGAGAGTTGCGAATGAGAGAGTGGGCGCCCCCTAGGGATGAGTCGCGGCACTGGCCGGGCGGTCACAGAGGGCAAAGGACAGACCCAGGGAGATGCCGCTGGACAGGGTAGAGCTCTCGGCCTGGCCGCGGGCGGGGGCGTAGCTCTCCATCACGCTGTCGTCTAACAGGTGTCTGGAGCCGGCGTTGGGGAAGGTGGCGCTCTTGAACTCCACCGTGTTCATCTTATGGATGAAGCTGATGAGACACACGAGAGGTTGAGGACGCAGACAAGAAAAGCAGCAGGCGCAGGCGGCGAAGGAACAAGAAATGTTCTGGAGGCTCTAACAGGAACAAGCAGGCTCTGGAAAGGCACTCACTTGTAGCCCAGGCTATGGCACTTTCTGTGGCCATGGGGGAGAAGATTGCGTGGGGAAGGGGGTGTTTGTGGCACCTTGGCCAGGGCGCCCTCTGCTACATGGCCCTTACGCCCACACAGGGGGGAGGCCGACACATCTGGGCCTGGGCAGGGCAAAGAGTCAGGCTGTCAGGCTGCCTCCTGGGGTCCACTATGCTCATGACATCAGCTATGAGATTTTAAACCAATCGGACCCAAGAAAGAGGTGCAGTACCTTCGAGGTCCTCCCTGGAGAGGGTGGAGCGAGGCGTGCTGGCACACGGCTCGATCTTCAGAGATAAACTGCCGGGAAGATCCCTGGGTCAGACTCTGCCCCATAAAATCTGCCTCGGGCGGCGTAACGATTCACACAAAACACTCACTTGTAATTGTCGTCCTCCACAAACTTCTGCAGCTCCTCGATGTACCAGACGGAGTTCAGATACTTCTGGACGTGAGGCAGCAACGGTATATCTATCGCAACAGGGCGATGGACAGAGCTGAGAGGCGTCCAAACACAAGCGGTGACAGTGTCTCATCTGCAGGATGAGGAGATGTCCGACAGACCAGAGCTGGAGATGAGACCAGGAAGGTGGTGGGAGGGGGCTTACCATATTCACAAGAGCGCTGCAGGTCAGAGATGATCCGCAGGATGTTGTTCATGAGGTTGGAACGCTGCTCGCTCTCCAAGATACTGCCCGTGGAGGGGTAGGCAGAGTCTATATAAGTCAGGTCGGATAGGTACATCCCTGTAGGAGGAAGGTGAGGCAGAGAATAGGGAAGAGCAGTCAATATGGAGGAGGCAGTGAAGCACAGAGTCCAGATTACAGATATAATTTGCATTCTTTGTGGCTTCGCATTACGGTCCAGAGGCCAGAACACCCTGCCTGCTCTGAAGTCTTTTCCAAACCTTCTTACATAAAAAGAAAGTAGTAGTTTATCCTCCAAAACATCCATGACTGGAAGGTAATATAGCAGTTTGATAGAGACAGGAGGCTCCACACAATCCTCAATCTGTGAACAACCATCTTCCAGCCCCCATGTCCCCATCAGGAACATGATAGATCTTTGCTTCTGAAAACCGACGTTCTGTTGTCTGGGGGATTCTGAAGCCTTTCCAGAGCACCTCACATAAAAACGACAGATTTGGCAGAAATTTAAAAGATCATTAAGTCATCAATTTAACCCTCATCTTAAGGTGAATATTTATATTATGTCTAAAAACAGACTAACAATACCATTGAAGGCTCGCTGGAGATGAGCCCTGAGACCCATGCATACGCAGGTATAATCTATGGTCAGGAAGACAACACACTCTCTACAGGTGTCCGCAAAACTGAAAGGGAAATAGCCGAGAAAATGCTGGGAGTTTCCAAAAGAGTAAAACCACATTAGGGTCCAGATGCGTCAGGAATGTTACGGCCGTTCCAGCGGACGGAGGAGCTGTTTCCAGGAAACGTGTCTCCCACTCATCCCTAGCAGCGATCTAGGAGACGTAAACAATCGCGAACACAACAAAGGCGGGAGACCGTGCCAGCCGCATTACTCAGACCCGAGCAAGCCCCAGGAGAGTGGGGGGGGGGGGGGGCAGGGGGGGCGAGCAGGACCCGACGCTGCCCCCAAAAACAGCTGTGACACAAAACAGTTTCTCCATCATGGGGCCACACGGTGCACAACTGGGCGAGAAAACCAGCGTGCAGGGATAATCCATGCCAGCGAGCGCATCTGGAGAGCTCGCCGCGTACAGCACGGAGCGTCACTGAAGATTCGATCGATGAGATACGGGAGCAGGTCTGCAGCTGGCAGAACAGAAGATTCCTCAGCCTCCTGGAACAGACGCTGGCATCCAAAGTGGGAGAAGAAACCCACCCTTCTCATAAATCCCCAGAACGAGATGGGGCAACCAGACCAGAGCCCCTGGTCTTATTTACAGTGAGGAGCGCAAGCGAAACAGAATTATACAGAATAAACAAGGCACACCCTACTGATGCAAACACCGAAAAACTATGTGCATGACAAAGGCTCACGTGTCAGCAGCCTCGGTCGCCATACTCACATCATCCCTGCAAACACGTGCACATCGCTGTCAGCGAATGACAATGCAGGCAGCACACGGTGTACATGGGATTCCAGCCATGACCCCCCCCCCCCCCCCAAACGGCTCTCAGCGTGACACCTCCCTCCGTCAGAGAAAAACAGTCCCCCCCGCCCACACCGCCCTCCCCGTCCCGTGAGAGCTCATTTCTCCCCCAGCCCCTCCTCCTCCTCCTCTCTTTCTCATTAAAAGAAAAAAGAAAAAAGAAAAAAAAAAAGAGGGAAGGATTTCTCCAGAGATGGGATTGTTCAGGAGGAGTTTCCCGCCCTGACATCAGGGGTGGGCGGGGCACTCTGGGCCATAAGAGCAGGCCGCCCCTAGCTGTGGTCCCCCTCCTTGCACGCCAAATACATCAATAAATACATACATCGCGCCGGGCCGCTGGGAACGTGACGCCGTGTGTGCGTGTGTGACAGCGCGAGACCCCAGAGCCATGCCCTAAGCGGGGCCCCTCCGCCGGCCCCCGCTGACAGGATTCCGCTGACCGGAACTGGTGAGGACTGCGACCGCCGCTACAGCATGCCACCGAGGGCGACGGCGTGAGACGGCTGACCCACCCGCGCTCTTCTCACCCAGCACAGGTGGGTACATGGCTCCCGTTCCCTCCCTCCCCCGGTTCTGCGACTCCTGAGCTGCATACAGCAATAGCCTGCCGGGGCGCCGGGGCACAGCGGCTTCGGCTCTCAGCCGGCGACTTTACTGACCGTTGAATCACCAAGTGTTACTATACAACACGCTGCTGGCCACTGTATGCTGGGAAATTAATGAAACTGCTGTTGCGAGGCGTCCGGCGATTTGCTGTTTCACTTGCATTTCTATCAAATCTGACAGGCTCCTGTAATAATGAGAGATTTAAAGCTTCGATGGGGTCCTTTAAATCACCAGTGTCTAGAGAAAAAGGTCCGTCTTAAATCGGAAAGAAGGCACTTTGTTTTCATTGTTTGGATGCAACACAGATAAATGTACCATTCACAGAGTTTAACTCAAAGCTTTACTGGAAAGGGGGGGGGAGTCAAAAAGTAAAATTGCTATATTTTAAGTTTAAGAGTAAAAGGACAGATAACGCTCCGGTAAGCTCCGGTCCTGGCGGCTGCACGGAGATCAGCCTGTAACTGAAATTTAAGCAGCTTCGTTGGGGAGGAATTCTCAGCAAAGCTGGAGAGCAGACGGATCCGAGACCTGGACACTCAGGAAGAGCTAGACGAGGTGTAAAGGCTTGTAAACAGTGCAGGCAGAGGATTGCTGTAGAGAGAAACCACGTAAAAATTGAAATCCACCTCCTTTGTGCTTAAGGAGAGCCCCCCCCAAATTAAAGAAAAATACCACACACCCTAACTCCATAGAGCCCCCCCCAGCTGCTGATTTTAAAAGAGTCGTACTCACTGTCCCGGTACAGCACACTGGGACAGGTTACGGGGTGACGGGAGGTCTCATGACCTGAACTCAGAGTTCACGGTGATGGTAAAAATTGTCTGTGAACAACTGGGAGTCCCCCATGAGGGCTGGGGCGTGGAGGGGGGGGGAGAAATCACTCCTCCCGCATGGATGGATTCAGACATTAAGACAATTGAAAGCCTTCACCCCTCGTAATGCGGAGGGACTGCCTTCCTTTGCAGCTTTTCTAAAGTAGAGAAAACAAGATAAACAGACGTGCAACACACACAGAGACACGCACATGCACAGACGTGCACAAACAGACATACACACACAGACACGCACATGCACAGACGTGCACAAACAGACATACACACGCAGAGACACGCACATGCACAGACGTGCACAAACAGACATACACACACATGCACAGACGTGCAC